TTTTGGTATCGGAAAACCTGAAATATACCAAGCAATCAAACAACTTTGTGTAATTATCTTTATTAAAATTTTAGGCGAGGTCTAGGATGTGCCTGAAACGATAACATCCTCCCCTAGGGCAACCATGCACATTCGAATTTTGTCTTGACACAGAGTGTAGTCCTTGAATGGAGGAACAAGAGTATCCTCCAGTAGGCTAAGAATCTTGAGGAATCGGTCCAAGGCATCAGTCAAGTTTCCCTCTGAAAGGAGAGACTGTGCTATTTTCAGCATACTGTCTGTATCCTAGAAGGATGATAAAAAGAAAGAAAGGGATCACATATTTCATTTGAAAAGAGAACATCAGTAGGTTTAAACACCTGCTTCCGGGCCCCCGTTCGTTACCTGAAGAGCCTTGAGCCCTTTGAGAATGTTGGTGTGCTGCTTACAGGCGCTGCACTGGACCATGAAGTTGGTAGTGTCGGTGGGGACGATGATGACGTTGCTGCAGCGCGCGGTGGAGGCGCCGCCCGGGTCACAGCGGAACCTCATGACGCCCGTGTCGTTCTCCATGTCCCTCAGGAGCGGCCAGTCCTCCTCGCACGCCTGGCAGCAGCACCTGCAGCACAGCACAGGTGAGTCAGGACCCGCGCCAGGGCGTCTGTGTCCTTTAGCAAAGGAGCAGGATACTGACCGGAACCAATACTGCCTCTGCAGCGCGTCCAGCCGCTCCTGCCGCGGCCGGTTGGAGTAGCAGAAGCCGTAGTTCTCGCAGACGGGCTGGCCGGCGCGCAGGCCGCGCGCGGCGTGCACCACCACCGTGGTGCCGTTGAAGTACCGGACGACGCCCGGGTCGCACGAGTGGTTGAAGAGCGCGAGCGTCGGGTAGAGCGCGGCGCCCACGAAGTTGGACGTGGCCGAGTCGTAGCCGCGCGGTGGCGGCACCTTGAGCTCCAGCTCGGACACCTCGTGCACGTTGAACTGCAGCAGCTGCAGCAGCGTGAGCAGGCGCCCGCCCGTGCGCAGCACCTCGTCGCCCTCGCCGGCGTGCCCGGCGGCCTGCAGGCAGCGCGCCAGGAACACGGCCATGTGCGCGCGGTGCAGCAGGTCCTCGGTCTGCCGGCGCGCCGTGTGCGTGACGAGGGACATGACGGAGGCCGGCGGCGCGGCCTGCGGGCCAAGGACGGACCTGTCATTCTGTTCGTGCTCGACCGCCACAGCCCCACCGCCAGAAATGGCGATATCGTTTCGATATCGCTTATCGATTTGTGTCGCTTTTCGTGTCGCTAGCGACACGAGACTGGGCACAACAAAAACGACATGCGATAACGATATCGGTGTGACATCGCCCAAAATTTCGGTGTCGCTCCATTTCTGGCGGTACCAGGGGCAGTGCCCCTCTTACCCCCTTGGGGAGCTGCGCGATGGCGCGCAGGGCCATGAGGCACGTGATGGAGGCCCCCGAAGCCCAGAGCAGCGGCAGCACGCTGCACTCGACGGCGTGGTGGGTGCGCTCGGCCTGCGTCCTGCATGCCGCGGAGCAGAACAGCACGGCAGAGCAGCGGGGGCACGCCACCGGGGCGCGGAGCCTGGGGAGGCATCATCATCATCATCGTCATCGACTTCGAACAGCGCCAATGCGACTAGGTCCGCCAGAACAGTACCTCCTGAAGCACTCGAAGCAGTGCGTGAGGGCGCGCTCCTGCAGCAGGACGGCCACGGCGGGCCGCTCTGTGAGCAGCAGGTCGCCGGCCTTGACGTCGTCGTCGGTGGTCACGTGGCGGCCGACCTCCTCGTCCAGGGCCTCGTGGAAGCGCAGCGCGGCCGAGACGAGCCCCCTGCCGTGCGCGCGCTGCCGGGGGTGCGGGCCGCGCAGGAGGCGCCCGGGAGCCGGCGGCGCCTTGGGCTGCCCGATCTGCGCAGGGCTCAGGGGCTCGTCCCGGATGTCCTTGAACTTGGTGAACATGCTGACCATGATCTGCACGTCCATCTGCCACTTGCGTCGCCGCTCAAGCGTCAGAGGGGAGTCGTCCAGCGCGGAGATCGTGCGCTGGAAGGTGTCTTTGGCGGACAGGTGCTGCTTGAGCGCCAGTAGACAGCGCGCTTGTCTGTGGCGAGAGCGAAGATTACATCCAGCACGTCCATGTTTCTGCCTTTACTCCCACTCAGCCTCCCCACTTTCATTGTCACTGCGTCGAGGACGCCGTCGCCATCGCTCAGCCAAACGCTTACCTGTCGTACACTTTGTAGAGCAAGTGCTTGGGGTAGCCCAGCTCCAGGGCCTGCTCGATGTCCTGTAGCGCCAGGTGGTACTGGCCGCGGTGGTAGAGCGCTGCCGACCTGTTGGCGTGCACCACGGACAGGTCACCGGAGTCCACTGCGCGGTCCACCAGAGGGTACCAGTGAAGGCCAGCATTGTGTACCACTTGTTGAGGGTGAAGAAGATGGGAACTAGACTCGCGGGTCCTTACCTGGCATGTGTAGGATGCTCTTGGTGTACAGGCGCACGGCCGTGGCGTAGTCCTCCTTCTGGAAGGCCTTGTTGCCGTCATCTTTGAACTGCTTGGCCTGCTCCAGGTCCTTGCCCAGCTCCGTGAAGCTGCACGGCGTCTACCCAAGTCACGAAAAATATTTACTACTGTGGCACTATGTTCACTTCTAAGACGGAAGTTTTCCGCGAAATACGTTTCGGTGAGGTAAGTATCATCCAGAAAGTTCGCCCGTTATTCACTCATATGAACTTGCCAAGTTCAGGCTGAGTAAGAAGGCGCTCCGCGTTCCATAGCGCCTTCTAGTTAGGCAACATCTTGCCCGCAGCGCATGTGTGTACTGCGGGTTGGCCTACCCGGAGTCTCGCAGGCGCCGAGCTCCCCGCAACTAGAATCCCGAGAATAACGAGCGTACTTTCTGGATGATCCCATCAGTCGGGGTGCACCTTACCTCGTGCGCCAGCCGCTGGTCCCACAGCCACTGGAAGCGCTGCTCGTCCGAGCCGAGGGCTGCGAACTCGTCCACCTGCTGTGCAGAGAGCGCCTCGCTCAGCCGACGGTGAGCGGCGCGGAAGAAACCGCGCTCAGAGTCTACGGCGACGGGCATCTCGCGGCCGGGGGTCGGTCGTCGTCGGCGTCCTGGAGAGAGCTTGATTGGACGAAGAGGATGCTGTGGACGAGGTTGGCCGGTGCCATGTGCGCAGCCAGTGTATGACGGCGCCGGGGCGTGCACTGGGGCTCTACGGCGTGCGCCGGCTCGCCGGGGGCGGCGCGGGGGGCGGGGGCGGCTATTTATAAGGCGGGCAGCTCGCGCCAGCAGGGGGCGGGGAGAAGGGGGGCGGCGATACCCCGTGTGTTCCCGAGTCAAGCCCGTCGTACTAATTCTAAGACAATGCGAGAACCGGAAGGTAGTCCACCTGCCACGCCTGCCACGTAGGGAGGCCTCGCTACCTTCGCAGGGGGGCTGTCAAAACAAGATATGGTTTGGCCGACCGACCGACCGACCGTCAACCTCGGAACGACCAGGACGACTGAAATATCGTGTTCGGGGGTTTTCTCGCACGCTGAGTCCAAATCTGGTAGTGCCGATGTCTTCCGGGCCCCCGGGTACGTCATTGGGGACCTCCCGAGCACGCCGATGACACTCCCACGACAAATACGATTCGGCTCCAAACGTCGTGTACC